CTCTTAGAGCATGTCCATGACTATTTATCATATCACAACTGCATAGATATTTTCATTGCAATATCCCCTACTTTTTTGAAGAGTATAACGACTTTTCATTCAAAATCAAAATAAAAGAATCTTCACTGGGTAGTTTTTGTTCTTTGAATATTGAAATCTCTTGAACGCATCTTTACATACTGCAATTACATTACCTCCCCCCTCCCCCCAAAAAAAAAAATCAAAAAGTTGAAAAATCAACTTTAATCCACACAAAACAAGGACTATTACCTTCTCAAGAAAATTAAACCGCACTCTTAACACTCTTTGCTGTGCTGGAGCTGGGTTAACTGATAGCAAAGAACTTAAGAATTAGTAATTGTAATGGGGCTGTTCATACTAATTATTCCGTTATAAAAGGACTGATTTGTGTCAGAAGTTTAAAATATCTAGAATCAATATACTGGGCTTTAATGTCGCCTATTATTAGAATACGTGGACGTACTCCGAAATGAGTGTACTACAAAAACCAAGGTCCTGTACCTTGAAAACGTAAATCTTGATGTCCTTAGAACAATCACTGGATTAGTGAGAGCTACATCTTATAACCTATCGTAAATTGCATCAGGGTTCACTTCGATTAAAATGAGACGGTGGCCCCATAAACTAACCCTGTTTTACGAAATGGCGAATTTAGAAATTCTCGTTTGCAATTGTCGAAATCATTTATTTATTTGGACTTTTATTGTTTCAAAGAAAGAATTCATACTTTTTTTTTTATTTTGGGGAATATTTTATACTTCTTGCCAAAATATTTTTAGACAAAACAAATTTTCAAATTGTGGAACCTTTGAAAACTAGTAGATGTCATTTAAATTTGCCCCCCCCCCGGTCCCGCCCCTCACATGCGCACACACCCACAAACACCCAACACCCCATCACAGACTTTAACATCAACACGAATAATATCTTTTTATGTTGTTGTATTATAAAATGTATATATTCCCCCCTACGGTCGTTTTTTTAAATTATGCATACCAATCTTACTCCCCTTTATCTCAAAAATGATGATTAGAACGCTCCAGTACACATGTAATGGTGAAAAGACAGACAACCAGCACGAATAATACCTTTTCATGTTGTTTATTACAAAATGTATATATTTCTTCCACGGTCGTTTATTTTTAAAAATATGCATACCAACCTTACTCTTTTTTCTCCTCAAAAATTGGTGATTAGAACGCTCCGTTACTCATGTCATTGGTTTTTTTGTCTTTATGTATTTTCATTATCTATTTGAACTCCCTTTTCAGCCCGAAACACGTAACTTATTATATTCTTGAAATATCACAAGTAAATGATATAGCCGCGTGTGCAACTATTATATCGTTTAGTTTCGAGTAATATTCATTTTGAGCTTTTTAAAGCATCCCCGTGAAAAAATATTATCTAAAATACTTAATCATTCAATATTCCATTATTTTGAAAATAAAAACCACACAAAAAAATGTTTAGGAAGCAAATTTCTGAGCGTTAATATCCCCGTGAATAATATTATCTAAAATACTAAATCATTCGAGTTACCGTATATTCCCAAAACCTGTAAGAAATAAATTAATTGTTAATTATCATCCTAGTTTATACATGCAATGTGTTCATTTTATTGTATTTCATACTTGGTCATTTTTGAGAGTAAATAGCAGTTTTATCAATAATTTTCTCAAATTGCATCAATCACACACCAAACGTCAATTGTGATTAGCTTATCAAACGGGGGAAATTTGTTGCAATAAGAAATACCTATATTCGGACATTGATTTACTATAACATTAATACATCAGCAGTAACTATAAAAAACGTTAAAGGAGCTAAATCGCTAATATTTATGGGACCTAGAAATTGACAGAAATGGGTCGCAACGAATATAATAAGGTAATGTGAATGTATATAAACTGATTTACATTCAATCGTTTCTGTTTTTACCGTAATTTCTAATCAGTTATGTTCGGCGAAATGCGCCAAAGTCTCAATTGAATGACGATCTTTAGCGTCTGGTTATTCCAGTCTAAACCGATGGTATTTATTGCGCATGCTCTCCATATAAGAATATAGCATTGACATGACTTGTGGAATATGTCTAGCCTCGGTCTTCGAGCCCCTTGTGCCAAATGGCACTGAAACGCATTATGGTTCACGATTCGTGTACCAATGGTAAAATGTTTCTTTTGTCTTGAATATTGGATATCAGAAGCTCATCTATTCCTTGTAAGATCACAAGACCAATGCTGATTTGAATTGACAAATAATTCGTGTTTTCAATGTCGAAGATTTTGATGATATTGAGTTAGAGACTTAGCTACTTTAACAATAATTTTTGTAGATATGGAAAAAAAGATATTGATCACATAGAAATACCAACATTTTTTTTAAAGATATGGAAAAAAGATGTTGATCACATAGAAATACCAAATTTATATTCCATAAATGGTAGATGTAGACATTAAACATACATTATGCAAGGGCTATATTTCCCTATTGCAGGACAACCTTTAGGCCTGAAATGTTTTCTAAATTATTAATTAGACATTAATTAACTGATCCAAGGCCATAATTAACTGATCCAAGGCCATAATCAACTCTCGATTGCTTCGGATTTCTCAGATATTAAATAGATTAGAACGGTTCAGCCATATTTTAATGGCTGCAATTATTGCAACGTCTTGTCAAACCTTCAAAGGCTAATATCTTCTCTCGCAATAGAGTAATTGGAATGAAAATTTCAAATTATTCACTTTACATTATCTATTGTCGAACTATTATAGCAAGAATGGCTAGCTCTTTATCGAAATCTTACATACTGTATCTTTAAGTTAAAGATAAAAGTTACAAGTTTGTTTTTTATATGAAATTTTACAATTTTATAATAATCTACCGGAAATATACATAACAGGGATAAAGCATAACGTTTCCACGATATAATAACCATGAATGTAAGTGAATAAACAAAAAACAACGCTTCAAAATTCATACGTTCATGGAAAAATCTTACCAATCTGTGCATAGATACGATAAGCATTCATTAAAAATCACAGAGAATATAAAATATGTGACTGGACAAAAATATTACTATATGATATATATGTCCAGACTGAAAAATCTCTGTTCAGACTGATATAATAAAATATCTGCAGTTTATAGGGAACTCTGTAAGATGCACATAAGTATATACCACTGTTTTATTTCAAACAAGTATAAAAACATTTCATTGGAGAGATTAAACATTATTGACATAGATTTATAATGATGTTTAGTTATTTTCGAAAGATATTTACTCGTGAAGTATGGTTTGTTAAATAATCTCTTCAGTGTTTAATCAATTGTAACGGTGATTTTCCGAGTTGTTTGACTTGAACCGTGAATTTTAAATATGTTTTGTACTAGACAATGTAACGGCATATATATACATTTCGATAATTGCACTTTTATTAAAGTTCAAATGTTCGAGGTGCATATTCCATATGTCGTGAATGCGGCGAGGAAAATGATACATGCCTATTTTTTAAGTTTCATAATAAACCATCTAGAAACCTCAATTTAAAGCCGGAAATCAACTGTATCGCGTTATGGGGAATGGAAGTAATTGTATAAGGTATTAGACAGGGAAAGATTTGTCAATGAATGTCGGTGAAGGGGAAATTTCCAAATAATGTTTAACCCGTTTCATATAAGTTGTGAATAAAAGGGGTAGCTTATTCCAAACCATATAGCTCATATTGTCTTGAACATCCCTATGTGCGTAAATAATCATCTAATAATAAATATAGCCTCATGCAACAGAATGACCATATGTTCAGATAGGGAAAAATGCCTCTTCAGACTAAAATATCTGCAGTTTTGCAGAACGACGAAGTCCAGTTAAGTTTATCCACGTAAAAGTAACTCCATCTCGACAAATAACGACACCCCAGTTTGAAAGGTATATTATTTGTGTGCTGGTGATATCAAATGGAAGTACTAAAATGGCTGAAGTATGTCGAATGTACAACCGTCTGTTATCAACACAAGGACGACAGGGTATTCCCTTATAGTAGTAAACCAAGCATCCATTTTTTTTAAATGCAGTTAAGCCCCCCCCCCCCTTATTATATAATCTGTTACTCTAATGAACTTTAAAAAAAAACCCAAAAAAAACGAAGAATTAATTTATAAGATTAAAATTGAATTTATAAGATTAAAATTGAATTTATAAGATTAAAATTGAATTTATAAGATTAAAATTGAATTTATAAGATTAAAATTGAATTTATAAAATTGTAAATGAATGTCATTATAAAATTGAAAATGAATTTATAAAATTAAAAACGAATTTATAAAAATTAAAAATGAATTTATAAAATTAAAAAATGAATTTATAAAATTAAAAATGAAATTATAAAATTAAAAATGAATTTATAAAATTAAAAATGAATTTATAAAATTATAAAATGAATTTATAAAATTTATAAAATGAATTTATAAAATTTATAAAATTAAAAATGAATTTATAAAATTAAAAATGAATTTATAAAATTAAAAATGAATTTATAAAATTAAAAATGAATTTATAAAATTAAAAATGAATTTATAAAATCAAAAATGAATTTATAAAGTTAAAAATGAATTTATAAAATTAAAAAGTTATTCTACAAATTTAATTTATTTCTTTTTTTTTAAAATTGAAGATTATTTTCCAAAATTAAAAATTATTTTCCAAAATTAAAAATTATTTTCCAAAATTAAAATTTTTTTCCAAAATTAAAAATTATTTTCCAAAATTAAAAATTATTTTCCAAAATTTCGATTTCCATACTCCCCTGGCAATACAATCTTTTGTTCTTCAAGTGCTGACAGAATATGTTTTTCACTGTCAGAGCATCTAAAATATGGAATAATCTCCTAGATACACACTTAGTCTTCGTTGTGTCATTAGTAACAATAAACAAATTGGGGGGGGGGGGGGACAAGAAAACTAACAAAATTCATACTTTCAAATGAAATCTTTATTATACACATTACGGTATCAGAAATTTAAAATCGAAAAGATTATGTCGTATATATATATAAAAACAACATATTAACCATGCCAGTATGACAAAATGTGTTTTGTTTTCAATACGTTTTAGGTATGCCACTCTAGAATTTCGTTGGATTTCGTAATGGGGTTTTATTATCTTTCGATGACTTGTTGTCGCAGAATCTCCATTTTAAGTTTATGTTCATTCACGATAGCATTGATCTTAGCATTTAACAATGCCAGTCTTAAATCATGCGCAGATGTCCTATTATTTACACTGAATGGTTCGGAAATGATGTCGAGTGGATGCTGACTGATTACATTCGGATCTACATAACCACCGTGGCGACCGCCACAGTATTCAGTATTATCTGAAAAAAGAAAATATCCAAATAGTTTAGTCTAACAAAGACATATCAATATTTTAATTATGTGAATAATTTATGTTGTTGCAATGTATCTAAATCTTTCAAGCACAAAACAACGTATCCACCGATGCATCTAATGTGTCGTTTTAACATAGTATAGTGTTTTAAGTGGCTTTTAATTACTTACCAAACGAAGCCCCATTTTTTACGCTTTCACCCGGCCTTTTCTTTGACGTTCTCGTTAGCTTCATTTCGTTTCTTTTAAGATGACGCCAGTAATTCTTTAATTGAGTCGAACTTCTAACAGGGAAATTTGGCTGTGCACAGAAACGTTTTTCAATTTCTTTCCAAGTCTGTTCTTTGAGAGAAACCGATTATTATGTCTGTTGTACTGAGAAAACTTATCACAACTCTACTTTATAAATAATCACAATAATACAATAATAGAAGCATTGCAAAAGAAATTGGCCAGAGTATAGTACAAACGGTAGTTGTGTACAAAAAACACAAGATCTGCTACGTCACACAACGTCTTTCAATGCGACTTTTCCGACAACGATACCATTTCGTCCACGCAGTCAGTTATTTTGGCGTCAGTTATTTTGGCTAGGACAAATTTTGTGGTAATTGTATCTTCAGATGTTTGGCCCCAATATACACCATATACACACCCATCAGGTATTTCGCTAGGACAAATTTTGTGGTAATTGTACCTTCAGATGTTTGGCCCCGGTATACACCATACACACATCCACACACCCCACACACCACACCAAGCATATTTACTAGACGGTCATGTCTGAGTACATTGAGTATAATAATCGTCTAGCCACGTTTGACAACCAATGGACCCATGTTCATCCATCAGCTTACAAGTTAAGCGAATCCGGATTTGTTTATTTCGGGGATAATGGTCGTGTGCAGTGTTTCAGTTGTAAATTGATATTGAAGGATTGGAAGCCATTCGACGATCCATTCCACGAACATGCTAAATATAAACCAAACTGCCCCTATATGAGAATGATTAAAGGGTCTTTGGGTGGTGGTTACCGATGGGAATACAAAGGAATACTAGATGGAAAAGTCATCCAGTTGGCACATTCCCGTGTGTTGTACAAGTGTAAAGCCGAATGTATTGACGCTGCTAAGAAAGCCGACTTTAGCTATATTGATAGTATGGGTAGATCCTATATTTATTCCTGACAGAGTGGAATTGCAAAGAAGATAAAGTCAAACAGTGGGATATAGACAACACGTCAGCCAAAACACCTGATTTCGAAGCTTATTTGTTTAAACAGTGAATTACCACAAAATTTGTCCTAGCGAAATAACTGACGGCGTGGACGAAATGGTATCGTTGTCGGAAAAGTCGCATTGAAAGACGTTGTGTGACGTAGCAGATCTTGTGTATATTGTACACAACTACCGCTTGTACTATACTCTGGCCAATTTCTTTTGCAATGCTTCTATTATTGTGATTATTTATAAAGTAGAGTTGTGATAAGTTTTCTCAGTACAACAGACATAATTTGTACGTGATGGATACCCCAAAAAGTCGCTCACCTTCAATGACAGATTTCGAGAAACAATTCCTATTGACAGTGGTAAAAGAATTCCTAAATATAATTGATAATAAGCGAAGGGATATAGAATCGGTTTCTCTCAAAGAACAGACTTGGAAAGAAATTGAAAAACGTTTCTGTGCACAGCCAAATTTCCCTGTTAGAAGTTCGACTCAATTAAAGAATTACTGGCGTCATCTTAAAAGAAACGAAATGAAGCTAACGAGAACGTCAAAGAAAAGGCCGGGTGAAAGCGTAAAAAATGGGGCTTCGTTTGGTAAGTAATTAAAAGCCACTTAAAACACTATACTATGTTAAAACGACACATTAGATGCATCGGTGGATACGTTGTTTTGTGCTTGAAAGATTTAGATACATTGCAACAACATAAATTATTCACATAATTAAAATATTGATATGTCTTTGTTAGACTAAACTATTTGGATATTTTCTTTTTTCAGATAATACTGAATACTGTGGCGGTCGCCACGGTGGTTATGTAGATCCGAATGTAATCAGTCAGCATCCACTCGACATCATTTCCGAACCATTCAGTGTAAATAATAGGACATCTGCGCATGATTTAAGACTGGCATTGTTAAATGCTAAGATCAATGCTATCGTGAATGAACATAAACTTAAAATGGAGATTCTGCGACAACAAGTCATCGAAAGATAATAAAACCCCATTACGAAATCCAACGAAATTCTAGAGTGGCATACCTAAAACGTATTGAAAACAAAACACATTTTGTCATACTGGCATGGTTAATATGTTGTTTTTATATATATATACGACATAATCTTTTCGATTTTAAATTTCTGATACCGTAATGTGTATAATAAAGATTTCATTTGAAAGTATGAATTTTGTTAGTTTTCTTGTCCCCCCCCCCCCCCCCCAATTTGTTTATTGTTACTAATGACACAACGAAGACTAAGTGTGTATCTAGGAGATTATTCCATATTTTAGATGCTCTGACAGTGAAAAACATATTCTGTCAGCACTTGAAGAACAAAAGATTGTATTGCCAGGGGAGTATGGAAATCGAAATTTTGGAAAATAATTTTTAATTTTGGAAAATAATTTTTAATTTTGGAAAAAAAAATTTAATTTTGGAAAATAATTTTTAATTTTGGAAAATAATTTTTAATTTTGGAAAATAATCTTCAATTTTAAAAAAAAAGAAATAAATTAAATTTGTAGAATAACTTTTTAATTTTATAAATTCATTTTTAACTTTATAAATTCATTTTTGATTTTATAAATTCATTTTTAATTTTATAAATTCATTTTTAATTTTATAAATTCATTTTTAAGTTTATAAATTCATTTTTAATTTTATAAATTCATTTTTAATTTTATAAATTCATTTTTAATTTTATAAATTCATTTTTAATTTTATAAATTTTATAAATTCATTTTATAAATTTTATAAATTCATTTTATAATTTTATAAATTCATTTTTAATTTTATAAATTCATTTTTAATTTTATAATTACATTTTTAATTTTATAAATTCATTTTTTAATTTTATAAATTCATTTTTAATTTTTATAAATTCGTTTTTAATTTTATAAATTCATTTTCAATTTTATAATGACATTCATTTACAATTTTATAAATTCAATTTTAATCTTATAAATTCATTTTTAATCTTATAAATTCAATTTTAATCTTATAAATTCAATTTTAATCAATGTTAATCTTATAAATTCAATTTTAATCTTATAAATTCAATTTTAATCTTATAAATTCAATTTTAATCTTATAAATTCATTTTTAATTTGATAAATTAATTCTTCGTTTTTTTGGGGTTTTTTTTTTAAAGTTCATTAGAGTAACAGATTATATAATAAGGGGGGGGGGGGGCTTAACTGCATTTAAAAAAATGGATTCTTGGTTTACTACTATAAGGGAATACCCTGTCGTCCTTGTGTTGATAACAGACGGTTGTACATTCGACATACTTCAGCCATTTTAGTACTTCCATTTGGTAACACCAGCACACAAATAATATACCTTTCAAACTGGGGTGTCGTTATTTGTCGAGATGGAGTTACTTTTACGTGGATAAACTTAACTGGACTTCGTCGTTCTGCAAAACTGCAGATATTTTAGTCTGAAGAGGCATTTTTCCCTATCTGAACATATGGTCATTCTGTTGCATGAGGCTATATTTATTATTAGATGATTATTTACGCACATAGGGATGATCAAGACAATATGAGCTATATGGTTTGGAATAAGCTACCCCTTTTATTCACAACTTATATGAAACGGGTTAAACATTATTTGGAAATTTCCCCTTCACCGACATTCATTGACAAATCTTTCCCTGTCTAATACCTTATACAATTACTTCCATTCCCCATAACGCGATACAGTTGATTTCCGGCTTTAAATTGAGGTTTCTAGATGGTTTATTATGAAACTTAAAAAATAGGCATGTATCATTTTCCTCGCCGCATTCACGACATATGGAATATGCACCTCGAACATTTGAACTTTAATAAAAGTGCAATTATCGAAATGTATATATATGCCGTTACATTGTCTAGTACAAAACATATTTAAAATTCACGGTTCAAGTCAAACAACTCGGAAAATCACCGTTACAATTGATTAAACACTGAAGAGATTATTTAACAAACCATACTTCACGAGTAAATATCTTTCGAAAATAACTAAACATCATTATAAATCTATGTCAATAATGTTTAATCTCTCCAATGAAATGTTTTTATACTTGTTTGAAATAAAACAGTGGTATATACTTATGTGCATCTTACAGAGTTCCCTATAAACTGCAGATATTTTATTATATCAGTCTGAACAGAGATTTTTCAGTCTGGACATATATATCATATAGTAATATTTTTGTCCAGTCACATATTTTATATTCTCTGTGATTTTTAATGAATGCTTATCGTATCTATGCACAGATTGGTAAGATTTTTCCATGAACGTATGAATTTTGAAGCGTTGTTTTTTGTTTATTCACTTACATTCATGGTTATTATATCGTGGAAACGTTATGCTTTATCCCTGTTATGTATATTTCCGGTAGATTATTATAAAATTGTAAAATTTCATATAAAAAACAAACTTGTAACTTTTATCTTTAACTTAAAGATACAGTATGTAAGATTTCGATAAAGAGCTAGCCATTCTTGCTATAATAGTTCGACAATAGATAATGTAAAGTGAATAATTTGAAATTTTCATTCCAATTACTCTATTGCGAGAGAAGATATTAGCCTTTGAAGGTTTGACAAGACGTTGCAATAATTGCAGCCATTAAAATATGGCTGAACCGTTCTAATCTATTTAATATCTGAGAAATCCGAAGCAATCGAGAGTTGATTATGGCCTTGGATCAGTTAATTATGGCCTTGGATCAGTTAATTAATGTCTAATTAATAATTTAGAAAACATTTCAGGCCTAAAGGTTGTCCTGCAATAGGGAAATATAGCCCTTGCATAATGTATGTTTAATGTCTACATCTACCATTTATGGAATATAAATTTGGTATTTCTATGTGATCAACATCTTTTTTCCATATCTTTAAAAAAAAATGTTGGTATTTCTATGTGATCAATATCTTTTTTTCCATATCTACAAAAATTATTGTTAAAGTAGCTAAGTCTCTAACTCAATATCATCAAAATCTTCGACATTGAAAACACGAATTATTTGTCAATTCAAATCAGCATTGGTCTTGTGATCTTACAAGGAATAGATGAGCTTCTGATATCCAATATTCAAGACAAAAGAAACATTTTACCATTGGTACACGAATCGTGTACCATAATGCGTTTCAGTGCCATTTGGCACAAGGGGCTCGAAGACCGAGGCTAGACATATTCCACAAGTCATGTCAATGCTATATTCTTATATGGAGAGCATGCGCAATAAATACCATCGGTTTAGACTGGAATAACCAGACGCTAAAGATCGTCATTCAATTGAGACTTTGGCGCATTTCGCCGAACAT